AATTTTCCCTCATCGCAGCCATCATTAGAGACACAAAGATCCTGCACTGCCTTTGTTCTCCTGCCTGTAGATGCCCTCCTGGCAGACCTGGCACCTTCAGAGTGCCCCAGCTGGGGGAAGGGGAGCTGCCTTAGGGCAGTCACAATATTTCCACAAGCACTACAGCTTCTTCATGGAGCAAATCCCTGCCAGCAGGCAGCAGCACAAATCCCCCACCTCTTCTCTGCAGAGCTGGAGGAGATCCCCAGCTGCACTGAGAGAGGCCATCTTGGGTGTAACTACAGGGCAGATGTGTGTCCTCAGTGATGGTTCTCTGGACATTTTGGTGTCCATGCTATGAAGAGCACCTTTACACCATGGATGGATGCTGTGCTGAAGGTGTGCAGGACTCTATGGTAGAAGGAAGGCTGGGTCAAGAAGTTGTCATGGAAAGATAGGGTGAGTCCAGACCTCCTCTCACAAGGAAGACAACCAATGCACAAACACTGGCAAGGGGTCTATCTTGACTCTGCTCTGTGCAAACCAGTAAATCAGCAGCCAGGGAGAAGATTTGTGGAGATCTCAGTTCTTAGGTCACTCTACAAGTGGATGATGGCCCTAGAGGAAGACATATCAGCCTTTACTTAATGTAAGGACTTTTCTCTCTGCGCTGCCTTTCCCTCCAGCCTGATAATAAAGCACCATCTGTTAATGGCATACATCACCTTTTCCTGTCTCTGACCATGAAAATTTTGATGGTAAACTGCATGGCTTCACTGGTGGGAGAGGCAGTATGTATTGTATGTAGCATGTTAAAAGACCTGAAATTAAGATTTACCACCAAAGTTATTGGAATGTATGATAGCCTTAGTGAGCATTTAGCACCTTCCTCTTTCTGAAAATGGCCGAAACATTAATTCCTGCAGCTGCCTGGGTATTGTAACATTCTTGAGCTTAACAGGGATCACGGGACTTCTGAAAAGGAAGGAGTAAGTTTTCTGGAGGAATTAATCAACAGGAAGCACTGTGTAGAGTAGTTTTTCTACAGTGTGTTTCCAAAATTGGACAGACACCCTCCCCAGCCATGCTTGGGCAGTGCTAGTAGCACAGATGACAGAGCAGTAGCAAGGTGACAGGTGCTCTTTGGAAGTAAACCATTCCTTTCCTGGGTACCCCAACTCACTGCAACTCAGAGATGCACCCATGTTTTTTGTGCTGCCTGGGTATGGACTTTTTGGTAAGCTGTGATGTTTGCATCCTGATTTGTAACCCAGCCTGGGATGTCATGTTTGGTGAAACTTCATGTAAAAATTTGCACTTTATGTCCGAAGCACCAAAATATGGTGTCTCTAAATCAAATACACTGCCTTGGGATTCCAGCAGATGATGGGCACATGAGACAAGTCCTGTCAACCTTAAGAGTGCCAACTGGTGCACAGCTGTGGTAAATCCTGTATTTCATCCACTGCAAAGTATTTCCTTGTATCCAGCCCTTTTGCCCATTCTGACAATGCGTGCTTTGGACAGTAAAATCTTAGAATCATCGAATCACCAAGGTTGGAAAAAACCTCTAAGATCATCCAGTCCAACTGTCCACCTTCCACCAATATTTCTCACTAAACCATGTCCCTCAGTACAACATCTAAATGTTTCTTTAAGACCTCCAGCGTCAGTGACTCTACCACCTTCCTGGGCAGTCATTCTAGTCCCTGATCATTCTCACAGAAAAGAAGCATTTCCTAAGATCCAACCTGAACGTTGCTACTTTTTGCTGAAATGCAAGATACTTTTAGAGACATGCCTTTTCTTGTGCATCTGATGATGGCCATTGTCCATAAATCCATTTCCAACTGCAATTCAGCTGTGTTTGAACACAGTCCTCCAGCAAGGAAGGCTGAAGAACACTGACCCCAGAACACCTCATCCCCTTTATTACACCTGTGGATGGTTTTTTTGAGTTAAGTGCCAAGAATTTGGATCTTCATTTGCTGGTATGTCTGCATCACTGCTAATAACTTCCTATGTACCTTTTCCAGTGGAGAATGGGGTACATATAATAACTGCTGTTACAGATACGGGCAGCTCTTTGTGGTACTAACTGCAGCAATTAATGCTAATGAGTCTACTCTTAGCAAGTAATGCTATTGGTGTTATGCTCACACCTCACCAAATGCAAAGCTTCAGTTTGTTAAGCAGATGCCAGTGTTAACAGCCAAATTCTCTTCCCATGGATAAGTTACTCTTAGTTAAATGTACCATTAAAAATAACCATTTAAAATGTTAATGAAAACAGAGATTGTGTGTGCCAGGGTTTTGCTGCCTCACCTTCACTCTGAGCTTCAGTGCGCGTGGAACAGGACCTCAGCATTGCCAAGACCCTGTCCAGCAGAGAAGCCACCAGCAGACAGACTCGGAGAAGAGACAAGGCAGGGTACGCAAGGAAGGGAGGGGAAACGAAGGAACATCACCTCCTTTTCACGTTTATTTCATTTTTGTATTTTTTTGTATTTTTTTTTTTTAAGATCACAGAAGAGCAGAGCATTCATACATGTAAAGAAACAGAAACAAGGTAACAGAAGTTAAATACATTGAGAAAAGAAAAAATAAAAAGCTTCTTTTTTTGTTTGTTTGTTTTCATCACTGGGTTTGGCTCATTCATTGGTTGGGTGGTTTCATTTCTGATCGCTTCCACTACATACACACTTGCACTTTTAGAGTTGCCTTTCACAGAGCTAGTTCCAAAAACAAACCAATGGCGAAAAATAAAATGGCCCTTTTCTCGTTTTGTTAAAGAGAAGTTCAGCTCATGTCTACAGTGCTGGGGAAAAATATATATAAAGATATAGATATATATATATATTTATATGTATATAACACTGTTAATGAGGAGAGTTCTAACCACCCCGCCGTGCAGCAAGAAGGGACTGGCCTTTGTTCTCAAGGTCTAGAGGATGAAACCTGGCTCCAGCTGGGAGAGCTGAAAAGTTTGTGGGTGACGGTGGCCCCACAGGGCAGGCACTTGCCCTCTGCCCCCCTCCTCCCTGTCCTCACACGTTTGTGCTCCTGCACGTGCACAGGAGTTCACTGTGTGCCGGACAGACGGAGCCATCACCAGGAGCATGCACATGTTAGGCTTTGTGTGGCAGAGGACAGCAGAGGACACAGGGTGTGTGTGTGTGCCTGTGTGCGACAGTCTGGAGAGCAGTC